TCTCCCCTCTCCCCGCTCCCTCATCCTTCCCCGCCTGCTTCCCACCCTTTCCAGTTTCGCCCCCACCTCGTCACGCCCTGATCGCATTACGCCACCTTCCCAGTCCCTCCCGTTCCCTTTCTCACAACGCCCCCTTTCTCGCCACGTCCCCTTTCTCACCAATCCCCTCCCTTGCGAGACTCGACCCTCCCTGTTTGCTCACCTTCCTCTCGCATCTTTCCCGCTCCGCCCCGCCCCACCTTTCACGCACATCTTCCCTCACTCCATCTCGTCATTCCCCCTGGCCTTGCTCATCCCCGCTTCCCGCACTAACCCCCCTTGGCCAGCCCAGCTCCACCAGGCCCTCCCCTCCTCTCTTCTCTCCATGTCCCCTACTCCTCATCTCCTCACCCTCGCGAAAACGCCTCGCGTCGCTCGGACCTTCCTCGTAACGCCATGCCACGTCACGACACGTCCTCGCCTCGCTCCCGTCTCTACGCGTGGAAAGAGACGAATCGACGGAGCCTTTTGCATGAAACAGCTCAAGGATGGGTCTCAGTCAGCGAAACGTCGGCCTCGCCTGGCAACTGATTAATACGTTCTCTCAGAGGAAACGGAATCGTCATATAGAGCATATACCAAACGTTGGAAGTTGTCTGAAAGTTTAAAACTAGTCGTGCTACATATGTTCTCGCATTATCTCTTCATTTGCAATTTTGGAAAATTATGAAACGAAAACGAGACCCGTGCCATTCTTTTAAGCATCCTCTCTATCCGTGCGAAAAGAAATAAAGAAAAACTTTGGGGAAAAGCGTGTTTTTTTTTTGATTGCCTATATTTCGCGCCAAATTTCACGAAAACTGCTCGTATTTTCGAAAAATTGAACATGAATATATTTAATAATACGTCTTTAAGAATCATTTCATTCAGAAAAAATCTATATTTACAGTGTTAAAGTTATAGGAAGACGCCCCCAAAAAATTACCCTTTTGCAATTAAAAAAGAAATCTGAAATTTCAACGACATGAAAGCTGCATCACTTTCTTAAGCAGCCGTCCTGCGAAGACAAAGTGATGAAAACAGTTGGTGCCATTTTTGAGACAATTTTGAAAATATTTTCGAAGCTGCTTGTAAAGTGCCCTGAAAATATCCGTTTCAAACTCCCAAAGCCTTGATTTCATTCAGATCGATTTGGGAATATCAGTTTACAAGAAAATCGGCTGAACAGTTTAAGCGCTAGAGTTGTCTACAAACGAGCAGCCAGACACGTTTCGCCGTCAATCAATTTTTCGAATATGAAGCAAGCACAAAACATGGATTCTTGCTGCGCCACGTGTTAGAGGATTGTTTTCTATATTTAGCAACACGATTTATCTACGTTCTTGTTACCAGGGCACTGTAATAAGAGTTTTTTAGCTAAACTTTCGCCGTTCTCCAGGGCCGATTACATACCTTTCTCTATTTACGAAGCACCTTCCTAAGATAGCGAGAAAGTAAAATTGGAAATATATACTTTATCAAACTTTAAATCTCAAATTGTATTTTTTGATGTAACAAAAATATTCATTTAGTTGTTTTAGAAATTTTATTCCCTGTGTTAAATTATTTTGCTCGTATGTAAGTAATTATCTTATTCAAGGATTACACTGTCTGTTCGACCCATCTCTTAACCACGGAATCCCGTAGCTCTTAGAGAGGTCTGTTAGGCTCACAATATTCTTCGTATGTTTCTAGAAATTATTAACCACGAATATTAGGAAAAAACTTTCTATTTTATTTGAACTACATTTAAATTCAAGATATGCAGCGAGCTTAAATAATCATTTTAAATTTGATGATATACAAGATTTATTTGTAGGAGAAAAATTCTATGTAGCTCGTCCTGTATGGAGAATGTGATGGAAATATAATTAAGTAAGACGCAAGGACAATACATGGATGGTTATCAAAAAAGTTTAATGTAGAAGGTGGTAATCATTATTACTGCTATGAGAATAAGATATTTTTTATCCATAGCGACCCTCTTAAATTAGGGAATTTGGGGCTCACGCATTGTATTAAATTTTACACACATAACCAAAGCATGTGGAATAATTGGAAAACTTGGAACGTACGTATTACATTAAGTAAATAAATATTTAATTAATTGTTACACGTGTGAATCGAAAGGTTTGTCACGAGCCATGACGTGTGCAAGAAAAAAATCCGTAAATTAATGCTCGACGATGCAAACAAAACAAAATTCTCTCTATCAGAAACGAGGATGTGTTCCGTGATCAAAGGATACCAGCTGAAGAAGCAACAGGCATGAGAATATTCAAATTGAAAGCCAATTAAAAGGAATTTTAGACACCTTCAATCGTCTTCTGAATTTAGGACGAATAGAGTCGAAAAGAGTTCCGGGCTGCATTATTGTCAAAGATTACGTCAGATGAAGTTAGCTGTCCTAATTATCATGCCCAACATCTACCTTCTTGAGATGGAATGGCACGAGGTGGTTGAGGCGCAAGTTACCGGAGTGAGCACGCACCACTGCCACCTACTTGGGGTCGAAGGGCCCGAGCTGGTTGAGACACATCTTGCCCTAATGCGCACGCAACCACTGCTACCTACTTGGGGTCGAAAGGCGTGAGCTGGTTGATACTCAGCTTGCCCCAATGAGACTCACCACTGCTACCTATTTGGGGTCGAACGGTGTTAGCTGCGTGAGACACATCTTGCCCCAAAGGGCACGCAACACTGCTACCTACTTGGGGTCGCAGGGCGTTAGCTGCTTGAGACATAGCTTGCCCCAATGAGCACGCACCACTGCTACCTACTTAGGATAGAAAGGCGCGAGTTGGTTGAAACGCAGCTTGCCCTAAGCTGTGTCTGTGCATGCACAGACACAGCTTGCCCTAATGCGCATGCGCAACTGCCACCTACTTGGGGTCGAAGGGCGCGAGCTGGTTGAGGCCGAGGCGCGCGACGGCGAGCGCCAGCAGGTCGTGCGTCTCCAGCAGCAGCAGGCCCTCGCGACGCGCGTAGAAGCGCGCGGCGGCGGTGAGCGCGCGTAGCGGCACCAGCCCCACCACCTCGGCGCCGGCCACGCCCACGCGCAGCGCCGCCGCCTCCTCGCGCACCGCCTCCATCGCCGCGTGCAGCGGCGTCTGCTCCAGCGCGCTCAGGTTCAGCGACACCTGCAACCCGCCACGCCACACTTGCACGATATACTCAGCTCAGGTTCAGCGGCATCTGCAACCCGCCACGCCACACTTGCACGATCTACTCAGCTCAGGTTCATCGACACCGGCAACCCAACACGCCAAACTTGCACGATCTACTCAGCTCAGGTTCAGCGGCATCTGCAACCCGCCACGCCACACTTGCACGATATACTCAGCTCAGGTTTAGCGACGCCTGCAACCCGCCACGCCACACTTGCACGATCTACTCAGCTCAG